TCCATCAGTCAGGTAACCCAGCTCAGTTACTGCACCTGCACCATCAACTCGGTGAAAGATGCTCTTTGGTCTGCCCAAGCCTTGTTGGTCTTCCAGAGCAAGGAGTTGACCCCGACCGAATGTTGCAGACTGGCACATACCAAGGTCCAGGACAACGTGCTGAGGGACACACTAAAGCTTGGGGCAGCTGCTGCCAAGGTGCATTGGGGAAAGACCACCATCTGGGGTCTTCCTGCTGAAGGTAAAGGGGGGTCCGTTCAGTAATCAGACCCTCCTAGTGCCTCAAATGCATGTAAATTTAGTCATATATGTGTAAGAGATGCCTTTGGTTTATTGGGATAGAGACAAACTCCAATGTTTGTTGACATTGATATGCTACTGTACAGAACAGAGCTGCTTTTGTGACAATGTATATATATATAAAGAATTTTTTATAAATAGAGTATACTCTTGAAATTTAAAAAAAAACCCAGCTCAGGAAGTGAAGAGCAGCTTCCAATATCAGGCAGTGGATGGATGGCTCATACATTGACGTGTGTCTGGGTGAGCTTGGTCATGAATCCATGCTTTTACAGTGTGGGATGTTGTTTATGGTCAATCCTGTGGCTCCATAGTAGCCAGTCTGGGGGATGGGGCTAGTGCTGCCAGGGAAATATACAGCCAACAATCAGGAGTCTTGTCCAGTTAGGTCACTCAAGCAGTGAACCACACTCTCACCATCTAAGGTTCCCACTCTTAGTTCACCTATTCTCTTTTTATAAACTTGGAGAAGCTCTTGTTGTTTGTTTTTATGTTCATTGACAATTTACGTTCATCATTCATTTTTTCCCTCTTTATTAGCATTTTAGTCATCATTAAACAAATTCAAAGTCCTCTGGCCTACCAGTAATTTTTTTCCACTTTGTATGCCATCATTTTTTGATTGAATACTCTCCTTTATTGCCTTCGTTAATCAAGTGTGATTTATCCTTCTGATCAAGTCTTTCTTTTTGTCCAGAATACATTTTTGCCAAACGTTATGCAATATCTGCTTAAATGTCTGTCACTGACTTTCCTGTTACTGTTAACCTACCTACTTTACATAACTCTTAATTCAGACCTCTGCAATTGCCTGTCTTGAAATTGAGATCACTGGTTTGAGACTTTATGTTGCTCTAGCTCAAACTGAATTTGAGATTCTTCTGTTCTATATTGCTGTTAGCCTGCTCCCTCCCCAGAGGATCCTCAACGGCGAGATTTCTTAATCCTACCTCATTACACATCAGTAGATCTGAAATAGCCTGCTCCCAGGTAAGATGACGGCGGATTAGAAATGCTGCAGCTGGCGCTTCTCCATTCTGTATGTGCTTTTACTCCTGTTTCTTTTCTCCCTGCCTTTGAAGTACGGTTAGCGGAGATGCCAGTGGTCTGAGTGGGGATGCCAATGACCAGTGGGTCAGCACGTGGAGCATGTGGAGGTCCCCTGCATTGGTCTGCTGTGGAGAGGCCTTGGAGAGAGACTGCGATATTTGTCTCTTTAACTTTGCTTCTCGTTTTTCTGACTTATAGTCATACTGTGTATAGCTGTAATATAACTTTGTTTCTTCATTCCTCTATTCTGTAACCAAGGATTGAACCTGGGAACCTTTGTACCTAAGCTGGCGTTGTAAATGGCAACTTATAAACTTTTCACTCATCTGAGTACATGTGATAATAAAGCTAATACAATCCAATTCAATTCTGGTGCGTTCTGCATTTACTGCTCTGGGAAACAATCCCTTATGCACTCTACAAATTTGTTTTCCCTTTTATCCTTGCCAATCTGACTTGTCCATTCAGTAAGCAGATTAAAATCACCCATGGCAATTGTTCCCTTCTTATATGCCTCCATTATTTCCTGAATTATACTTTGTTCAGCAGTGAGGTAAGCATTCAGGGGCTTACAGATGGCTGCTTCAGATGCATTATTTGCCATGCTATTCTATATGTCCACCCAGACTGGTTCCTCATCATAATCTGTACACCTCCACACTGATACTTTCCAAGATCAACAAAGCTACCCAACTCCTTTTCCTTTTTGTTTATTCTTCCTGAATATTAAATACCCTTGAATAATGAGTTCCCAGTCTTTGTCACCCTGCAGCCAAATCTCCATACTAGCTACAAAGTCCTAATCACTTACTTGCCATTATCTTGTTGCGACTGCTGTGTGCTTTCAGATCAACAGCCTTCAGCTTTGTCTTTATTGTTTATTGGTCATGGTCACCTGGCAGGAACCAGTCAAAACAATGTTGTCAAGCAGTGGTTTGCTAGTTCAGAACTTGTCTCCATGATGTCTGCTTTTACTCTCACTGTTCAGGAAAAATGCGATATTGTATATGACTTACAGCAAACACCATATTTAAAATTGCAGCCATCTCTTTGCACAGTCTCCTTGGTTTAAAGAAGTAGCTTCATTTTTAATCCATATTTGACATGTAAAGGAAATTAAAAAAATATGATTGCTACAGTACTCCTGTTCTAATGTTCCTATGACCCACTGCCTTTGGAATAGTCCTGTTTAGCTCTACTGCAGCATGAGTTGACAGCTTGAGGATAGGGTTGACTAAGTTTACCACAATATGATTCATGAAGGAAGGGAAAATAAGGGAATTTGTTGTTACTTGATACTTAAGATTTGTAATCCTTTGAAAGCATGGGCCTTGATCCAGAAATATCAAGGAAAAAGCAGAGATAGGGGACAAGTGGTTGCAATCAGAAGAAAATAGGATCTGAATTAACTCAATGACTATCAAGTCTAATTCTGAAAATCCACTTTCATCTGTAAAAGGAGAGTAAGCTAGTGAAGGTAAGGGCACAAACTCTGCCACCAGGATAAAAGGCTTTGTGGCTCAGAGTGTCTTTTAACAGAATGATGCACATTGTACCCAGCCACATGACTCTGTGATGTAGTCTAACAACAATGTACAGTGTGTGGGAGTTGCAAGTTTGAAAGTAAATTTTTTAATTTGAACAGAGCTCCCCTGTTGCCTTCAGTGGCAGAAAGTTGCAGATTTACTCACCAAGGTGATGATTTTGCTGCATTATATGAACTTGAGAAAGAGGATCAGTGTTCGACCATACAGCCCCTTGACCCTAGGATCATGGTTGATCTCTGCCTCAAAGTAATGTTCCTGCTTGCTCCCCACTTTGCTTAACTGGCTGACCTACCAAAGATCAGTCCATCTCAGTCAGAAATTTGACTTTGTCATGGAACAGCCACGACGCTCAGCGATTGAGAATTCCAAAGTCTGTTCTAAATGACCCTTACCCTGATGATAGCACTGTGTTCTGGACTACCCAGCTCAGGGCAAACACTTTGTCAGTGCTCACACTTAATCCTGTATGTTTTCCTTGAGACAAGTTCATTCTTGATTGCCCCAGACAAAAGGAAAGTCAAACTCCTGTTTAGTTATAGGGCTCTCTTCTATAACTCTTTGCCTCTGCATTTACATCTATCATTAGGGGCCAGTGTCCCAATGGGCCAGGTTGGATTGACACATAACAGTGGCATATGGGTATTCCAGCAATCTAGTGAGTGTGTTTGCCCATATGTAACTTGGCACAACAGAAGGGTTTCACTTGACACCACATATATAGTGCTACGCTTTCCTGGCACTTGAACAGCCAGGTTTTTGCCAGTTATGTCTGAGAGCTCTTCTTGGTTTTGCCCACTGAAGGTACATATGAGGAATGAATAGCTCATGCCTCACCTTCCCCCTCCCCACAAACCCCTCAGCACCTCGCGGTCTCTGCCCTTTAAAAGTGACAAATGGAAAATTGGCAATGACCTTCAAAATCCAGAGAATGGAGTTCTGACTCCTGCCTTTAAGGGTGCAGTTTGGAGATGGGGGCTAATTCTAATGAATAACTAAATCCGTTTGCAATCTAAATCATTGCACCTCAACCCTCCCAATGTCACCTTGTTTGTGCTGACAGACTAACCATTGCCCATCTCTAGAACCATCACTCTCCACATATGCATCGATTCCTGGTACCATTAGCGGGATGGTGGCTTAGTGGGTGGTGCGGTGGCTCAGTGGTTAGCCCTGCTGTCTCACTGTGCTCAGGACCTGGGTTCAATTCCAGCCTTGGATGACTGTGTGGTGTTTGCATATTCTCCCTGTGTCTGCGTGGGTTTCCTCGTGCAGACTAGGATTGCCCACAGTGTCCAGGGATGTGCAGGTGAGATGGATTAGCTGTGGGAAATGCAGGGTTACAGGGATAGGGTAGGTGGCTGCATCTGGGTGGGATGCTCTTCAGAAGGTTAATGTGGACTCTATGAACCAAATGGCCTGCTTCCACACTGTAGGGATTCTATGAACAGCTGAAATTTGAGGGGAGAAATTCAAGTTGTAATATTTTCATTCTCCCTTATGCTAATTCCTTTGACCAGCATAAGAATGCGGGAGAGTAGTTATTTACCTTTTGCATTTGCATCCAAATCATCATTTTGTGAGTATGTTTTACAGCCCGTTAGCCCTTTTCTCTTTGCCTCTGCTTAACACAGTGCTTCTGTGTTACAAATGCCTTGTGTTGTGATTGACCTCAGATCAGTGAAAATATTCATGTCAGATCCACAAGCAAACCTACAACATACCAATTTTGAAGAAGCATCAATTGTTTAAATATTCACTTTGAAATAAACATCTAGAGAGCAATTCCTTTGGTGCTTTATAAAACACTTGATAGTCTGTGGACAAGATATATCTGTCTGACCTTTGTGCTTTTTGTTTAGTAGTTATTTTCTCCTTTATTGAAGGTGCTAATTCATGTTGGGATTTAGATGCTTGAGCAGCTATAGATATTAGGCACCATCACTCAGTAAATATTTTTCACACGTAAATTAAGCAATGAGTGACTATGTGATTCCACTGTGAATCAGTCCTACATCGTCCCACATCTGAAGTCCGCATGTCTAAAGGGATTTCAAGAACACTGTACAGGATAAGGACTCACTGAAATTTCTTTTCTCTCCCTAGATTGGAGATCCTGAAGATGCTAACAGCATCTTAACTCCTCTGATGCTGCTTGGCCTGTTGTGTGCATCCAGCTCTACACCTTGTTATCTCAGATTCTCCAGCTTTGGCAGTTCCCACTATCTCAGCATCTTAACCAACATCATTTTACATGACCTTGTGATGCCTCTGGTTTACATAACTCAGTCCCCAGGTTATGAATTATATTTACACACTTTAACAAGGAAAAGGGAAAGAGAGACATCATATTGAGGACATACAGGACGTTGCTGAGGCCTGTTCTGGAATACTGTGACCAATTCTGGTCGCCCTGTAATAGGAAGAATAATTATTAAGCTGAAGAGGGTTCAGAAAAGATTTACCAGGACGTTGCCGGGTATGGGAAGGTTTGAGTTATAAGGAGAGGCTGGGTAGGCTGGGACTTTTTTCACTGGAGTGTAGGAGGTTAAGGGGTGACCTTATAGAGGTTTATAAAATCATGAGGGGTATACATAACGCAAATGGCAGATGTCTTTTCCCTAGGATTTCAAGACTAGGGGTCATAATTTTAAGGTGAGAGGAGAGAGATTTAAAAAAGATATGAGGGAAAACTTTTTTACACAGAGAGTGGTTTGTGTGTGGAATGAACTTCCAGAGGAAATGGTGGATGCAGGTGCAGTTATGAGGTTTAAAAGACATTAAGATGAGTACATGAATAAGAAACGTTTGGAGGCACATGTGCCAAGCAGGCAGGTGGGACTAGTTTAGTTTGGGATTATGGTCGGCGAGGACTGGTGGGACTGAAGGGTCTGTTTCCATGCTGTGTGACTCTGTGAGAAAGAGAGAGAGAAAGAGAGAAAAAGGAATTTTATAACGTTTTTCAGATCCTCAACCTGAAGGAAAACTCAGTAAATTTTGCAAGTGACACATCTTAGTCTGAATTGTAAGCTTCAAAATGGAACTCCAGTACAACCAGTGTGTTCTTTCCATGTATTGCTAGTTTTGAATGTTTTTTGTCCTATTGGGATGACACCTCTGATCACCTCACAGCCAATTTGACATTGCATTTGAGTTGCAATGTGAGGAAACAAACACCTTTTGATAAGATTGTGGAAGTAGAATAGAAAGAACAGAGGAGGCATGAGACATGAAATCCATGTTTAAGGAGAAACTTTTCTCACTAGCATAGGTTGGATAGCCAGAGGACAAATTCAAGTAACATTCACACTGCACAAGTGACAGACAATGACTGTCTCCTATGAGGGAAAATTTAACCCTCTCCTGCTAACTTTCAATACATTACTGCTACATTATCAATGTTTTGGGGATTAAAATTGATTAGAAACTGAACTGGACCAGTCACATAAATACTGGAAAAGCTTAGATTTCCATGGCGAGTCACTCACCTCCTGACTCCCCAGAAATCTGTCCATTACTTACAGTCAGGAGTGTGATGGGATTTTTCCCCACTTGCCTGGATGGGTGCAGCTCCAATAACATTCAAGGAGCTCAACGCCATCCAGGGGAATGCAGTCCTGCTTGATTGGTCACCACCTTCAACATTCAGTCTCTCCATCACAATGTTTACCACCTAGAAGGCACACTGCAGCTCCTTAGATTAATAATGATTATAAGTGGATAATCCTTAGACAGCACCTTCCAAACCTGCGACTTCTACCATCTTGAACGACAAGGGCTGTAGATGTGTGGGAATACTACCGACAAGTTGCCTTCCAAGCCGCACCATCTTCACTTGGAAATATATCGCTGTTCCCTCACTGTCGCTGGTTCAAAATCCTGGCACTCCCTTCATAACAGCATTGTGAGTATATCTACTCCCTGCGGACTGCCAAGATTCAAGTAGGTAGCTCACAACCACTTACTGAATGGGAGATAAATACTGGCCTACCTAGTGACACCAACATCTTGTGAATGAAAAATAAAGTTTGAGTAAGAAAGAGAAACGGAGCTGACATGAAGAAAGCCATTTTTTTACAGAGATTTACTGTGAGGTGGAACATTGTTTTGAAAGCAACTTTCAATCATACCTTTCAAAAGAGAATTGAATGAATGCTTGAACTGAAATGTTCTGCAGGACTATGGGGAAATGAAACAAATTGGATAACACTTTCAAAGAGGTGACCTAGGCTTAATGATCTCTTTATGTGCTATGATTTTGGATCCATCTTTTTAGCTATTGAATGTTAATTAGTAAGGTTTGGAAATGCGAGACCGTTTGTAACAGAGATTTAAAGACAGAATTAATTCCTGCTCCCTTCACACTTTCTCCACTTGTCTCTTAGGCAGCCAAAACTATAGCCTGAGTAGTTTGCAGGATCATGGAACTGCCTGGCATAACTGCCTGCCAGGTCCCAGGCCCAAAATCTGGGCAAAGTGACCGGTTGGAATAGTACTGACTGAGCCAAGATTCCTGTGTCTGATTATTACCCAGTGACCCCAACTGAAAGATGTACGTGGGGGATGGCAAGAACTGCCGATACTGGAGTCAGAGATAACACAGTGTGGAGCTGGAGGAACACAGCAGGTCAGGTAGCATCAGAGGAGCAGGAAAGTTGACGACCCAAAACGTCAGCTTTCCTGCTGCGCTGATGCTGCCTGGCCTGCTGTGTTCCTCCAGCTCCATACTGTGTTATCTCAAAAATGTATGTTTGTCTGTGTATGTGTGACCCTGTGTATGTATGTGTATGCGTGTGTGGATACTTGGTGAAGGTAACATTGGGTTCAGTGATGCTACTGTTCAGAGGCTGTTGATGCACACTTTTGGGTTATGTTTGTGCTGGTTGCCAGTACTTGTGGAACTATAGCCTGACAAGAGTTGATGCTCTATGGCAAAATACAGGAGCAGACAGATTTAGCATTGGAAGCTAATACAGGGCATCAGACAATGAGCTTGTTGCTTCTTGACAGGGAGTTGAAGACTTGTTTATTCAACATTGTTGACTGATGTCCTCATATTCCAAATTCCATGCATAATTCCAATTACCGTATGCTAATTCTGCAGACAACATTGTTTAATTTATTTCCATCACGTTCATGTGTACTGAGAAACGATTTGAGTTGAATTTCATTAAGGGACACAATGGGCATGTTTAAGAGACTGTCTAAAGTTCCATGTCACAAGTGGAACAGAAACCAAATACCTTTGCCTGTTTATTTGTTAGCAGTTTGAGAAAATATCAAAAACAATTTAATGAACTACCAAGGCCTTTCACATCCAGGATTAGAGTTAAAATCCAGACCAGATTTTATGATTCAGGGGTAACTGGTTTTAGAGGAACTAAAATGTACAAGGTAACAGCACAGACTTGTGAGGCACACTGTCACAGATTGACAGTCTTCTTTGGAGATTGATGGCTGGTGATGGAGATGAACAGGTTTTCAGGCTAGATCCACTTTCTCCTGTGCATACTGACATGGACCAGACCAACCTCCAACCCCCTCCCCACCAAAAAAAATGTCAAGGAGATAGCCTAGATGCTAACATTTTCTTATTTTAAAGGCAAGTGTCAGGCATTACATTCTGGATGCAATTCGATTTATCAAATTATCAGGCTTGAAGCAAGGCACACTTTATTCATACACCACAGTTAAAATACAGACAAAATAAAAATAAATGAATTGGCTTACCAGTAACTCTATCAACATTTTTAACAAAATAATGAACTACTCATTAACTATTCCAACAAACAAACCCTTGGGAAAGGCAAGTTCAGTAAAATAGATTATCTCACATGCAATTCTAGCAGCAGAAAGAGAACCCAAGCTTTTATCTGTAGCAAAGAGACAGAGAGAGATGTAGCAGCTTTCACAACCCCAATAGCTACTGAAAGCTAAAACTAAAAATCCTGGTTCTGTGGGAGCTTGACCCCACACCCGTTCGGGCTGCTTCTATTGTTCCAACTTTTAAAAAAAAGGCCTCACAAGCTGTTTACTTTATTGACTTTGTGCAGACCGTTTGTTACCTCCATCTTAACCTCTCTTCATAAAAAAAACATACAAACTACACCTCTTAAAGGCACAGTATTGTCACAGTACAGAGCAGTAATGTACTGGCAATGTCACTGAGTTAGAAATCCAGAGGGCAATTCTAATGCTCAGGAATCATGAGTTAGAATCCCATCACAGTAGCTGGTAGAATACCAAATTGAATTAATTAATAAAGCTGGAATAAAAAGATAGTCTTGTGAACGAATAAAAGATAAACAATGTCACTGGTTAGATCAGCATTTATTGCCCAGAGGGCAGTTAACAGTCGACCCCATTTTGGCTCCAATTTCTGGAGTCACATGTAGGCCAGACCGGGTAAAGATGGCAGATTTCTTCCCTAAAGGACATAAGTGAACCAGATGGGTTTTTCAAACAATCGATCATGAATTTCATTAGATCTTCATTCCAGATTTTTTAAAAATTGTATTCAAATTCCACCGTCTGGCATGGTCTGTAGGGATTCTGTCATGATTGGAACCAGGCGGATCTCATTGACTACGAGATCATTGATTGGGGTTGTTAAACTGGGCTAATCAGGAAGCTCCGACTGACCAATATAACCAGAGGACTTAGAGTCTCCTCAGTTCAGGGGACTGACTCTGAGCTGGCTGCAGAGTAAATAAAGGGTGACTTGTTGAGGGGATACTGGTCTCTGTGCAGTTATTTCAGAATCTATGATTCAAACCCAGGCCCCCCAGAACATTACTTTGAGTCTCTTGATTAACAGTCTAATGATAATACCACTGGGCAGTCACCTTCCGCTAAGTGGTTATAATGGGCATCCTGAAGCTACTGGAGTTGTCATAAAATCTGCTTTGGTTTGCTAACGTCCTTCAGGGAAGGAAATCTGTCATAGACTTGATCTGGCCTATATGTGATTTCAGATCCACAGCAATGTGCTTGGCTGTCAACTGCTCTCTGAAATGGCCTGTGCAACTTATTTTGACCAAACTTTGATTGCCTAGTCACCCTTCAGAAGCTGTCTGACCTGTTGCACGGTTACATTTTCCTCAGTTTTGCTCCAAAGTGTTCTATTCCCTAATTCTGACATCTCACAATTCAATTAGCAAACAAACAAAAGCCTTCAAATATAAATTGTGATTGTAAAAATATATAACTTTATTTTATTTTACAATCTTTTCTGGCTGAACATTGAATGCTCAGCATCACGTTGGGGCACTGGCTGGGAGGAACTAATGAACCATGCTTTGAAAGAAAGCGGAGTTAAAATTAGCTGATGCCGTCATTGCTTAGATGCATCAGTGAGTTTACCATTATAGATCCGCATAAGTTGAACTAGATATTTAAGTATCTTTTGAAATATAGTCAGAAGCAGGAAAGAATGCTAAATGTAGTGTATTTTTTAAAAAAAAATACTTGAAACAGTCCTAAAATGCCTTTGAGGGGATTAAACCAAGAATCCATGATTTTTTGGGCTGACTTGAAAGGAAAGGCCTCAGTGGGATTAGGGTTTTTTTAGTCTTTCACCATCTCTTCTAATGTTGCTAGTCTTGCTAATGAATCCTGTGCTTTCAAGTTCCACTCCCAACGCAGTGCTGACGCTGTGCTGCACTATATAAGCAGGAACATAGAAACATAGAAGCTAGAAGCAAGAGTAGGCCTTTTGACCCTTTTCAAGCCTTCTCTGTCACTCATTATGATCATGGCTGATCATTGAACTCAAAACCCTAATCCTGCCCTTTGCCCTATATCCCTTAATCCCTTTGGCCACAAGAGATCTTTCCCCCAGGGTAGGGGAGTCCAAAACTAGAGGGCATAGGTTTAAGGTGAGAGGGGAATGATTTAAAAGGGATCTGAGGGGCAACTTTTTCATGCAGAGGGTGGTGCATCTATGGAATTAGCTGCCAGAGGAAGTGATGAAGGCGAGCACAATTACAACATTGAAAAGGCATCTAGATGGGGACGTGAATAGGAAGGGTTGAGAGGGATATGGGCCAAATGCTGGCAAATGGGACTAGATTAATTTAGGATATCTGGTCAGCATGGATAAGTTGGGCCGAAGAGTCTATTTCTATGCTATATATCTCTATGACTCTATATCTACCTCCTTCTTGAAAACACATACTGTTTTACCTTCAACCACTTCCTGTGGTAGTGAATTCCACAGGCTCACCACTCTCTGGGGGTAGAAATATCTCCTCCATCTCAGTCCTACAAGGTTTACCCTTTATCCTTAACTATGATTCCTGGTTCTGGACTCTCCCACCATTGGGAGCATCCTTTCTGAATCTAACCTGTCTTGTCCTGTTAAAAATTTTATAAGTTTCTATGAGATTCCCCCTCATTCTTCTAAACTCCAGTGAATATGATCCTAACCGACTCAATCATTCTTCATACATCAGTCCTGACATCCCAGTAATCAATCTGATAAACCTTTGCTGTATTCGCTGTACATCCACTGATGTTTGGGGACCTCATGCTTGAAAGGTCTTGTTGAGATAGTGCTTTATCAGTGTGAAACACAATACCAAGAAGAAAACTAGAACAAAAAGTTCAAACAGAAGACATTAATTGAAGAGACCACTGGGGACCCAGGTCACCCTCTTTTCTCTAGATTTTCAACTTCTGGCCTCCCATTTTCAGGTGCAAAATATGTTGCTTTAAGTCGAAAGTCCTCTTCCCCTCTGCTGCCAGTCCACCTTCAAATCCTCAATTCCCATTAAATACACCTCCTTCACACCAGATGGGGGCCAGTTAGCTAGACAGCTGGTTTGTGAGGCAGAGTGATGCCATACAATCTAGGTTCAATTTCTACTCTGGCTGAAATTACCAGGAAGGACATTCCCCTTCGCCTGTCTCCTCCCTGAGGCATAGTGACCCTCAGGTTAAACCACCACTTGTCTCTCTGTCTGGTGACAGAGCAGCTTTCTAGCAACTTTCCTTTTTACGCTAAGTGCTTTATGCATCAATGGGCCAAAAGCATCGACACTAGCAA